ACCGCGTTTTTTCAGATGTATTTCCAAGAAAAAAACATCGTCTTATATTCGGGACAATACGATAATTAATAAATACATTTATTATGTAAAAAATAAATAAAAACAAAGAAATGGTTACTATAGTTAAACCATGGTAACCACAAATTAACCATGGATTTACTACATTAACCATAGTTTAACCATGGTATTTGTACAACTGTGGTTATATGTGGTTATGGTTTTGTGTGTGTGTGTGTGTGTGTGTGAGAAAGTCCCACCCAGGGAGGCAGTTTCCGCATACTGCATTGTCTGTGTGTGTGCAGCGCTTGATTTGGTGTCTATTGAGTCTGCGGCAGTTCTGGCACAGTGCGCAAGGGTGAGAGCCCCAGTCTTCCTTAAACCACCGAACGTCACATACGCCACACATTGCTGACACACCTACACCATAACCACAGTCCTAACAGCCCACACGCACACAAACATATTCAGTAACATGATAAGTACATTGGATGTGTCAAAGTTTTCCTGAGAACGCAGCTTTTGTAACCGAGGCCTGTTTGTAAGTCATTTAAGGTCATGTGTAAGCCTCTGGTGGCAGGAATGGGATACTACAGCATGTTTACATAATCCTCAAATTGGGGCTCTCTTTGGACATTTTTTAAATGTTATGTCTTCATATAGATTTATCATGTACATAAAACAGATCTAAGAGAGACCTTCACATTTTTTAACAGAAAAAATGGCAATTTATCATAATTTCATAGGTAAAATTACATTTAAAAATACTTATGAACAGAAGACAATTGCAATTTTCAAAATTGCTAATTATTTAAAAAAAACAGTCACATTATCAATATTCTTCTATCTACGGTTATATATAAATAAAAATAAATATATTAAAATATATTAATATTAATTATTTTATAAATAAAATAAATATTGAAAAATAATATTAAAATATTGATAATATATCTATTAAAGCTTAGAAATTAGAAATAGAATGAAGGACTAGTTTTATCCTTAGGTTGTATGTCAAGGACTACTAACCCATCAGTCCAGCAGTTACTACAAAAATAAACATCTGCATAATCAAATGTTTAAAAATATAACAACATGCTTATATACTATCTTACAAAGTCAATCAACAAGTGTTGATGACTTTGACTGCAGGGGTTCATCTACATGCGTTTAAATCTCGCTCTCTTTCTCTCACCTCTTTCAGCTCTTGGCCAGGTGGACATTGTGGGCATTTGTGGCATTGACCACTGTGGTAATACTCGTCCATCGAGCAATCCATTCCATATCTAAGAGAAGTAGAAACAAAGAGTTAAAACATATAGCATGCAAACATGGGCTTACAATACACACAAATCCTCAATTCAAAACTATGAGGCCTGAATGTAAAATAATGCATGCTGCTAAAGTTCTGTTAATTGGTTAACAGTAAGTTACCTTAAAATATAAAAGGGAAAATTAGCTTAAAATTATTTTTGGAAATAAAAACTATTAGTTACCATATAATTTATGGTTAAAAAAAAAAAAAAAAAAAGGGAAAAAAGACATTAACAGAAGTCCCTGAATGACACTTCACATATGATTATATTTTATTAAAAAAAAAAAAAATCTTATTTTTGTTATCAGTAATGAACATTAGGTGTTGTATTAAGATTGTATTACATTTTCTGTTATTTAGGTAATGTTTATTGCACTATTTTAGTCTTGTGTGTGACCTAGTGTACTGTATTGGCAATGTTTCACTTACGATGATTCATTAATATGTACCTTTCTATTGTACCTCCTGTATTATCATGGTGGCTATTAGTACTTTTTAAGGTAAAAGGCCGATTTTGATAACAATGTAGATTTTACTAAACCTGTTGATGCCTCAAAAGTTTGAATTAGGTTACAAGATCATCATGCACAGAGTCGTAGGTTTAATCTTTCTAATGTTTAAGTACACAAACATTTCATACATTAGACAATCATTTCACAGTCCGTATTAATAAGTGGAACTCAGAATAACGAAGAGAGTTTTAGATTAGCCTCTTTTAAAAAAAAATATAGAGTAGATTATTGCGCTTAATTTACAGTCCATTTTATTGTGTATAGCGAATTATCGGTAACACTTTACAATAACAGTACATGAATTATCATGTACTAATTATCATAGAAGGAAATAGAAAAGAAAAAAATTATGAAAATAGTTTCATGCAATATAGGTTATAGTCAGCTATTTATGTTCGTTTCAATAATAAAGATTAATGTCCATTCATTTTCATCCATTCTCGATCTGAGAACACAGAGAAACAGATCAAGCGAGAGCGCACATTGAGGTGTCATCTAATACAAAAATACCTCCGTTAAATGATCTGTTGGGAATAATCTAACTGAGGCATAAATTACAAGAAAGGTGGTCAAATTGAACTAAGTAGGGCGCACTGCTACGATTCAAAAGTAGAGAGCAGTGCACCGGCTAGCTACTACATCATGAATCTCCAGTAAAGTCGCATATTAGGGACAGTTTCATCCACACTTACATTGCGGCAGGGACAATCTCAGCAGTCACTTAATTCTCTGTCCATTAAGTAACCGTCTCCTGTGGCTTTGGCTTAATTCGGTCCAGTTTAGTTTGTGGTTGAAGTGTATATACGCGCGGGGACACACAGGAATGTCCCGACATGTTCGCGCTGCTGTGACTGAAATCCGCTGCAGCCGAAGAAGCGGAGATGCTCGAGCTCCCACGGCCACGGTCAAAGTCCATTTCATTGAGAAATACTCTTGAATGGAAATTGTGATTCCAAAGGATTTCTCACAAAGGACTGAATATGAATCTCAAATAAAACATTTTGTTTGGATAGCTTGTTTATTTATACTAATATGGCGTAGTCTTGTTCCTCCAACACATGCAGTCACAATATAAATGTAACGTGTATAAAACCGTAGAATTGATTTAAAAAACATTTTTTTCCTCGAATAGGCTATGTTCTAAGAGCTTTTCCTCGTTTTAATTACGAATTTCATGGTTAACTCGCTGCAGCAATCTCTTAAGGACACAAGGGGGCAATAATGAATTTACTTATTGACCTCCGAAGTTCACTCAAACCTTACATAACTTAATAAGACTTAAATAGCACAATTCATTTAATATTCAATTCATTTTCATATTCATTTGTAGATCATAACATTACATCACATTACAGTAGCCTACATTATATTGCATTCCATTATTAGACTGCATTACCCTAAGTTGAGCGTTGCAGCTCAGTGATCAGTTGGCAAGTAGCCTACCAGATCAGGCCATGTTTGCTATGCCTTATTTGACCCGACTGAGTATACAAGGTATCAATTTTATTTACAATTATCAAACACATAAACTATTATGAAATTGTTAAGTGTAATTGCTAAGTGAAACGTTTGTTTAAGTGATTGTGGTGTGTTGATGAAAAGATCTGCAGAGACTGTTGTGTGTTTGTGTGTGTGTGTGTGTATGAGTGAGAGTGAGGGAGTAGGAGGGCACTGTAGCCTTGCATAGCAGTCATAGAAGTTTTGGCAAAGGAAGAAAAAACAGAAAGTGGGAGAGAGTGTATGGAGGAGTATTTTTATATTTTGTCAGGGTTATTGTGTCTGAATTGGACCAGGTCTGAACTTTTGTACCGGTTGTTTTGTCCCTTAACCGATCTTAAGCAATTCAAATTACAGATTGTCAGGATGTTATATTAACAGAACAGTTTCACAGATAGTTGGTCATTGTTGTCCTGCTGTCGTGGACGTCCATGTGTTCACCTCATCCCTGAATCTTATCTCAGTCTGTTCCTGTCCTCTTCCACTTCACACACATCCTTATCAGAAGCATAGACTTGCTCTGACCTCTAAAAAGACACGTGTATGTTTTGACGTCCAACTTCATATTTAAGTCTAACACAGATGTTGTTCTAAGAAGGTGCCCCAGACAAAGTCTGTAATGATGAACTTCAGACCAATGCAAAAACTACAGTATGACTGATTAACGCAAAGAAAGTTCTTTTGTAGATATCAAACTGAAATGCTTGAATTTTAGGATCATGTCTAAATGTGGGCCTGTCTGAGCGTATGCATCTGTGTCTGAGTGTATGAATGTGTGTGTTAGTGGGAGTTTGAAGGCCGTAGAGCAGAGCCAGACTCAGAAATAGTTCAGATAAGAAAACTTCAACCACCTGGAGAGAGAGACACCTAAAGACTTAGTTCTGCATATTAACTATATACAGTTACAAGGGCATATTAAAATATACGTAAGTGGTTTGAATATGAAAGCTAATTCATCTTTGATGACAGTAGTTGATATGGCCTCAGGGACGTCTCTGTGCACCTGCTGTTGACAGAGGAAAAACTATAAAAAGTGGCATAAGAACCCCTAAAAACATCAGCTTTACTCTCAGAACTAGTCTGCCTCGATGGATTTGCCTCAGACCGGCAACAGGTCTAGACATAATGAGCAAAACAATGTTAAACAAAGGAGGACCTTAAAGAAAACATACTTTTATTTTTACTAAGCATTTTACTACACATTTATTTTGTTTTACTCAAATTACTTCCAAACCTGATTTGCTTTCTGGAACACAAAAGATGTATGAATGTGTAAAGAAAATGTGTCTTGGTATGTTTTTTTTTGTCTATACTTGACAGTCATACTAGACTTCTGTCCATTCTAGACTTTCATAAAATATCTTCTTTTAGTTAGTTAGTTAGTAACTTTATTTATCCCCTTGGCGAAATTTTGTTTCAGTGTCTGCTAAATGTCTAAATGTTTCAATATGCGGTTCTCACAATACAATACAAGACAAGACAATACAACATAAATTTCACAGTAGGACAATACAAATCTCACAGCAATTAATCAAGAAATACTAATACTGAATGAGACCTGCTCATTTAATGAAGGGGGGGGAGAGAGAGAGAGAAAAAAACTCTTTCTATCCTATATCTTTCTTTTAAGAACTTCACTGCCTGTGATATGAAAGATTTTTTCCCCCTATTTTAAAAAAAACCACCGGTATCCTAAATCTTCTACCTGAAGGCAAAAGCTCAAACTCATTATACAGTGGGTGCCTATCGTCAGATATAATTTTCATAGCTTTACCAAGACATCTAGTCTGATCAATTTGTTTTAAACCCAACACAGGGATACCAAGTAATTTACTCGCAGTACCTGAACATACTCTTTTGTTTCACCGTAACATTCCCGAACCAGCAAATAATACAAAAGGTCAGTACACTTTCAATTAAAGAGTTATAAAACACCTTTAACAATGGAGAGCTTCCACTGAATGACACCATCTTCCTAAGGAAATATAGTCTTTGCTGGCCCTTTTTGTTCACAGCGTCAGTCCATTTATCCCACCTCAATTTGTGATCTAAAGGTATTACTCTTCTACCCTCTGAATCTGCTCCCCTTTAATAATGGTCGCACTCGTTGAGGACTCTTTCCTAAATCAATACACATTTCTTTAGTTTTTGAGACATTTAACTTGAGATTTGATACATCACACCAAGAAACAAATTCATTTAAAAAGGGTCCCTGACTGTCCTCATCCCCTTTAAGGAGACTAACCAATGCAGTATCATCTGCAAATTTTATTAAATATATCTCTTTCCCAAAGGTGACTTGTTGATCTTTACGATATATACATATAAAATAAAAGTGAAACGTGTCAGATTCCTGTTTACATTGATTGCGAATAATTACATGCGAGTCATTTTTGTGTCAGCTGCATTGATCAGACACATCTGTGGCTCTGTGTGCCCGGCCAGCATCCAGAAAGCGGCTTCACATTAATGTGACAGTGGCACACATGGGAACGGGCGGCTGGTGGGACACACCGGGGGAATGAGGACGGGCAAGACACCCGCAGGTGCTCAGCCCGGCGGGCAAGAGAGGTCAGAATATAGAAAATCAGATACAGGAAGCATAATAACTCTATCCTGCCTCCGGTGTGATTAATAAACCATTAAATCACTCTGATGCCAGCATAAAAATGAATGTGTTCAGTCGTCGAGCTGCTTTCTTAATTGGACTCTTAAAAGGGAATAATTATGATAATTGCTGCTTCTTGTGACTCTCACCCGAGCGTTAGTGCTGGAGGAGTTCGGGAAGCTCGCTGACCAAGCGCTCGATTACCCTTTTCTATGCAAGGCTGACTGTGACCCGTCCGGATTGAATGAGGAAGAACAGAGAGAGGGGTAAAAGGAAGGGTTCAGACAAAAGGTGAATGAAGGATTTTGTCTGTAATAGCTGGAGGTGACAGTTAAGTGACAAATTGTCCTCTTTGTGCCAGATGAATAGTGCGGGTAAAAATGATTACCCTAATAAAGAGATGAGCAGTACATAGCTTGCAGTTCAGAGTCTTTATTTGATTCAGTTATATATGATCTTGACTTCAAGTCCTGAACTTTTTACATCTGAGGGATTCTGATATTCACTACTTAAAACTGCAAAAATACTCCAAATCGGTTGTCTAACATATTATTGTACATCATGCATCTTCCTTATTACCACCAGTGTCATTTTAGTATTATGCTTACTGTAGTTTTTATAAATATTTTAATTGAGCATTTTTTTATAGTTTCAATTTAATTTTAGTTTGTTTTAGTCATTTTGTTGTGCTCTTGTAATTGTTTTAAAATTAGTTTTAATTTCTTTAAACTTATTTGTTTGTTTATTTGTTCGTTCATTGATTAAATTTTTTTATTTGTATTTTTCATCTAATAATTCTATTTTAGTTCAACTTTATTTCAATTAACTGAAATAATTTTCACTAACAACAACACAGTATTTTACAAATTATTATTAATAATATATTAACATATAACCTATAACAACTATTTATTTGTTTGTTTGTTGTTTGTTTGTTTGACCATCCTGTACATCTTTCCAGTCATAATTTTTGTACATCTACTGATTTTTCACTTTCTATTTTTTTTTTTTTTTTTTTTTTTTTCTTTTTTTTATCTGTGTTTTTGTTCTGTCACTGTCATTCTGTTGCACTGTGGAAGCTTCTGTCACGCAAACTCATTATACAGTGGGTGCCTATCATCAGATATAATTTTCATAGCTTTACCAAGACATCTAGTCTGATAAATTTGTTGTAAACCCATCACAGGGATACCAAGTAATTTACTTGCAGTACTTATAATTTTCCTGAACATACTCTTTTGTTCCACCGTAGCATTCCCGAACCAGCAAATAATACAAAAAGTCAGTACACTTTCAATAAAAGAGTTATAAAACACTTTTAACAATGGAGGGCTTACACTAAATGACACCATCTTCCTAAGGAAATATAGTCTTTGCTGGCCCTTTTTGTTCACAGCGTCAGTCCATTTATCCCACCTCAATTTGTGATCTAAAGGTATTACTCTTCTACCCTCTGAATCTGCTCCCCTTTAATAATGGTCGCACTCGTTGAGGACTCTTTCCTAAATCAATACACATTTCTTTAGTTTTTGAGACATTTAACTTGAGATTTGATACATCACACCAAGAAACAAATTCATTTAAAAAGGGTCCCTGACTGTCCTCATCCCCTTTAAGGAGACTAACCAATGCAGTATCATCTGCAAATTTGATTAAATATCTCTCTTGCAAGTACTCCTACAAT